TGATAATGGTGTATTATCTTTTTGATGTGTTGTTTGATTCAGTTTGCTAGTATTTTGTTAAGGATTTTTGTATCTAGATTCATCAGGAATATTGGCCGGTAGTTTTCCTTTTTCATCATGTCCTTGTCTGGTTTTGGTAACAGTGTTAAGCTGACCTCATAGAATGAGTAAGGAATAATTTCCTCCTTAATATTCTGGAATAGCTTGAGAATAATTAATATTAATTTGTCTTTAATAGTTTGGTAGAGACTGGGAGCAGTGGCTCATGCCTGTAATCCCAGCACTTTGGGAGGCCAAGGCAGGCAGATTACCTGAGGTCAAAAGTTCAAGACCAGCCTGGCCAACATAGTGAAACCCAATCTCTACTAAAAGTACAAAAAAAATTAGCCAGGTGTGGTAGCAGATGCCTGTAATCCCAGCTACTTAGGATACTGAGGCAGGAGAATTCCTTGAACTCAGGAGTCAGAGGTTGCCATGAGCTGAGATGGCACCACTGCACTCCAGCCTGACTCCATCTTAAAAAAAAAATAGTTGGTAGAATTTAGCAGTGAGGCCATCCAGTAGTGGAATTTTTGTTGTTGTTTGTTTGTTTGTTTTTGGGAGAGCTTTTATTACTGATCAATCTTGTTACTTATAAGTCTGCTCAGGTTTTCTATTTCTTCTTGGCTCAATCTTGATAGATTATATATGAATTTATTCATTCCCTCTAGGTTTTTTAATTTATTGATGTGTAGCTATTCATAATAGTCTCTAATAATCCTGTGTATTTCTATGGTATCCATTGTAATGTATTCTTTCTCACTTCTGTTTTTATTTATTTGGATCTTTTCTGTTGTTAGTTTGTCTAACTAATAGTTGTTTGGTTTTGTTTTTCTTTACAAAAAACACTTTTGGTTGTGTTGATCTTTGGTATTGTTTTTTATTATCAATTTCATTTATTTTTGCTGTGATTTTTATTATTTATTTCCCTCTACTAATTTTGGGTTCATTTGTTCTTGCTTTTTCTAGTTCCCTGAGATGCATTGTTGGGTTATTTATTTGAAATCTTTCTTTTTTTATGTAGGCATTTATTATTATAAACTTGCCTCTTAATACTGCTTTTCCTGGACCCCTAGGTTTTGTTATGTTGTGTTTCCATTATCATTTGTTTTGAGGAATTCTTAAATTTCGTTCTTAATTTCTTCCTTCATCCATTTGTTATTCAGGAGCATACTGTCTAATGTCCATGAATGTTACAGTTTTGAATGTTGCTCTTGTTATTGATTTCTAGTCATATTCTATTGTATTCAGATAAGATACTTGATATGATTTTGATTTTTAAAAATTTGTTGAGACTTGTTTGTGTTCTAACATATAATCAGTCGTGCAGAATGTTCCATGTGCTAATGAAAAGAATGTGTATTGTGTAGGGCTGTTGAGTGAAATGTTCGTTAAGTGTTTGTTAGGTCCACTTGGTCTATGGTGCAGTTTAAATCTGATGCTTGCTGATTTTCTGTCTAGATGAACTATTTAATGCTGAGAGTGGGGTGTTGAAATCCCCAACTATTATTGTATTGGGGTCCATCTCTTCCTTTAGATATAATATTTGATTTATATATCTGGGTGCTCCAGTGTTGGGTACATATATATTTACAATAGTTATATTCTCTTGCTGAATTGATTACTTTATTATTATATAATGTCCTTTGTCTCTTTTTACAGTTTGACTAGAAATCTGTTTTATCTGATAGAAATATAGCTACTCCTGCTTGTGTTTGGTTTCTGTTTGCATGGAATATCTTTTTCTATCCCTTCACTGTCACTCTATGTCTGTCTTTACAAGTGTGTTGAATTTCTTGTAGGCAGCATATAGTTGGGTCTTGTTTTTCATCCATTCAGCCAGTCTATATCTTTTCTTAAAAATAGAGACAAGGTCTCACTATGTTGCCCAGGCTGGTCTGGAACTCCCGGGCTCAAGAGATCCTCCTGCCTTGGCTTCCCAAAGTGCTGGGATTATAGGGGTTAAACACTGCACCTGGCCAAATGTCTTCTTTTGAAAAGTGTCTGTTCATGTCCTTTGCCCACTTTTTTATGGGGTTGACAAAAATCTCTTAGAACTGATAAATGAATTCAGCAAAGTTGCAGGATACAAAAATCAGTAATGTTTCTATATACAAACAGCAAACTAGGTGAAAAAGAAATTAAAAAGGCAATCCCATTTAGAATAGTTACAATAAATAAAATCAAATACCTGGAAATAAATTTGAACCAAGGAGATGAAAGAACTCTACAAGGAAAGCTGCAAAACACTGATAGAAGAAACTGAAAAGGGTACAAACAAATGGAAAGACACCCCATGTTCATGAATCAAAAAAACTAATATTGTTAAGATGACCATACTACCCAAAGCAATCTACAGATTTGTTGCAATCTCTGAAAAAATGCCAATGATATTCTTCACAGAAATAGGAAAAATTCCTAAAATTCAAATGGAACCACAAAATATCTCAGAAATCCAAAGCTATTCTTTCTGAGCAAAAAGAACCAAAGGATCCAAAGTTCTTTCTGAGCAAAAAGAACAAAGTTGGAGGCATCACACTACCAGACTTCAAAACACATTATAAAGCTATAGTAACCAAAACAGCATGGTATGGGAACAAAAACAGACACATAGACCAATGGAATAGAATAGAGAACCCAGAAATTAATTCATGTATCAATGGCCAACTCATTTTTGACAAACGCACTGAGAACATACAATGAAAAAAAGTCAGTCTTCAATAAATGGTGCTGGGAAAGTTGAATATCCATATACAGAAGAATGAAAGTAGACCCCCACCTCTCACCCGATACAAGAATCAACTCAAAATTAATTAAAGAGCTAAATGTAAGACCTGAAACTAAAACTACTGGAAGAAAACAAGGGAAATGCTTCAGGACATTGGTCTTGGAAAAGAATTTATAAATAAGACCTCAAAAGCACAGGCAACAAAAGCAAAAATAAACAAATGGAATTATATCATACTCAAAAGGATGGTAAATTTCCTTCTGTATAGCAAAGGAAACAATAGAATGAAAAGACAAACTACAGAATAGGAGAAAATATTTGCAAATGATTCATCCAATAGAGGATTCATATCCAGAACTCAAACTTAACAGCAAAAACAAAAAATAAAGAACAAAAACCAAACAAAACATGATTAAAAAATGGGCAAATGATATGAACAGATATTTCTCAAAAGAAGACATACAAATGGCCAAAAAAATGAATAAATGCTCAATACTAATTGTTAGGGAAATGCAAATCAGAACCACAATGAGTTATCATCTCTCCCCAGTCAGGATGGCTATCATCAAATAGACAAAAAATAGCAAATGATGGTAAAGATGTGGAGAAAGGGAACTCTTATACACTGTTGGTGGGAATGTAATCTAGTACAGCCATTATTGCAAATAGTATGGAGGGTCCTCAAAAAACTACACATGAGTCTGGGCAACACAGTCAGACCCCACCTCAATAAAAAAAATTAGCTGGGTGTGGTGGTGCAGTCTTGTAGTCTCAGCTACTTGGGAGGCTAAGGTGGGAGGATCACTTGAGCCTTGGAGGTTGGGGCTTCAGTGAACCATGATCGCACCACTGCACTCCAGCCTGGGTGACAGAGGAAGACCCTGTCTCAAAAACAAAACAAAACAAAACAAAACAAAAATGATGATGATGATGATGATGATGATGATGATACAAATAAAATGATCATAAGATCCAGCAATCCCACTTCTGGGCATTTATCCAAAGAAAAGGAAATCAGTATATCGAGGAAACATCTGTACCTTCATGTTTATAACAGCTCTTTTCACAATAGCCAAGATACAGAATCTACCTAAGTGTTCACCAATTAATGAATGACTAAAGAAAAGATGGTACATAAAATTCATAGAATATGATTCAGCCATAAAAGAGAATGAAATCCTGTCACTTTGGCAACATGATTATGTTAAGTGTAGTAAGCCAGGAACAGAAAGTTAAACACCACATCCTCTCACTCATATATAAAAGTTAAAAACAAGTGGATCTCACGGGAGTAAAAAGTGGAACAGAAGATACTAGAGGCTGAGAAAGGCAGGGGAAAGGGAGAGAAGGATAGTGAGGGATTTTTTTAAGGGATACAAAATTACAGCTAGAGAGGAGGAATAAGTTCTACTATCCTACAGCATTGTAGGATGACTATACATAACGATAATATATTATATAGTGTCAAAGGGCTAGAAGGAGGATATTGAATGCTCCTAACACAAAAATGATAAACGTTTGAGATGAATATGCTAATTATGGTAATCTGCTCTTACATGTATTGAAACATCACTATACCCCATAAACACATGTACAATTATCATGCCAATTTAAAACATTTAATTGAATTTAATTTGAAAAGAAAATAAACAGACGAGCCACAGACTTGGAGGAAATATATATATACATGCCAAAAATAACATATTCTGTAAGGAAAGTCCTACATCTGACAGTGAAATTAGAGCAGAAAAAGAGTAATGGAGAGAAACAGAAGCTTGGATGCTGTAAGAGCAGATTGTAGATTACATACCTAACTGTAGATTACAGATACTGGATATAGATGAAAGGGTTTTTAAAATACAGGTCATAAAGCTAGTTCTGATATAAGACAGATGACTTCAGCTACATAGATAAATTACTTCCAATCTGTCAATTAAAATGAACAAGATAATGACATAGAAAATACCTTTATTGAAATGTTAATTCATAACTACCTGTGGCATCATTACAAATATATAAACTCTGTGGGTTAATTCATAACTACCTGTGGCATCATTACAAATAAATAATAACTGGATAAGAACAGAGAATACTGCAAGCAAACTGATATTGTAGGCCAATAGAACCATTGATAAATATTTTCTTGTTTTCTTTTCAAATATTAAATTTCTGGGGAGGGGGTAGCCACGAAGATATCAAACTTCAGCAAATAACAAAGACAAAAAGTACTTACTTGCTCTATGTTTAAATTGGGAACCATCAGAACAGTGGGTTTCCCTTTTAATCCTGCGTGAATAAACACCTTTTTAAAAACTTCTTTGAATTCGATGTAGGCACATTTGTGAGATATAGGCACTCGGTATAGTTTGTTATCTGTCAGATAACAGGCCAAGGTTGCACATGTTTTTTTCCCACATCCATCTATTCCAATCTTTGGGAGAAAAGAAATCCAACATATGACATATATTTTCTGGGAACCTTTCAATGTATAGTTTTCTGTTTATTATTTGTGCTAGAAATTTTGACCGTAAAAATACCCCAGAATATTTTTATTTATAACCTTTTGGAAGGCATATTAAATGTAATTTAAATATTTTATCAAAATTTTTATAACGCACTCATCCACATTCAATATTTTCATCTTTCCATAGCCTCTTGAATATACGAGAAAATTTCACTGGAAAGAGAACATGATCTTGAAAAATAGCACAGACAGGCTTATAAACCATCTTTATATCACTGTCAATATTTGATTCTTCATTTATAAGTAACTAGATAGATCTTTTCCTTTTTATTTTGAGCAATAGGTACTTAATAAATGCTTTTGGGGAATAATGGCAAAGTATTGTTTTTAAAACAGCTTTATTTAGGTGTAATTTACAGATTATACCAGTTTTAAGTGTATAATTCAATGTTTTGTAGTACATTTACAGACTTATGCAACCCTTGTCACAATTCAGTTTTGGAACAATTTCCTTCAACCCAAAAAGATCTTTCAAGCCCACTGGCAGTCAATCCCCATCCAACTCTCAGGCCCAATCACTAATATGTTTTCATCTCTATTGATTTGCCTATTTTTGGCATTTCATATAAGTGAAATTATATACTATGAAGTCTAATGTATTCGATTTATTTTACTTAGCAGAATAAGTTCCTTCGTGTTGTATGTGTATCAGTAGTTTGTTCCTTTTTATTGCTAAATGGTATTCTATTGTATGGACATATCACATTTTATTTATCCATTGATGAACATTTGGATTGTTTCTGCTTCTTGATTATGAATAATGCTGCTAGGAACATTTCCATACAAGTCTTTGAGTGGACACTGGTTTTATTTTCCCTTGTGTAGAGATAGAGAAATGGAATTGCACAATTATATGGTAAATCTATGTTAAACTTTATAAGAAATAGCCAAACCATCTTCCAAAGTAGTTGTACTATTTTACATTCCCACAAGCCGTGTATGAAAGTTCAGTTTATACACAGTCTTGTCAATGCTTGTTATTAGCTATCTTTTTAATTATAGACAGTCAAGTGGGTGTTTAGTGTTATCGTGGTTTTAATTTGTATTTCCCTAATGACTAATGAAGCTGAACATCTTTTCATGGGCTGATTAACCATTCATGTATCGTCTTTGGTGAAACACCTATTCAAATCTTGTGTCTATTTTAAAAAATAAACTTATTTTAGAAGAGTTTTAGACTTACAGAAAAATTGCCAAGATAGTATGGGGAACTGTCATATATCCCACATCCAATTTCCCCTATTAGCATCTAACATTAGTATATTACATTTGTTACCATTAATGAACCAATATTGATATGTTATTATTAACTGAAGTCCATACTTTTTTCAGATCTCCTTAGTTTTTAACCTAATGTTTGTTTTTTTTTTTTTTTTTCCTCCTTTGGAATTTCCTCCAAGATACTATATTGCATTTAGTAGCCAAATCTCCTTAAGCTACTCTTGGCTGTGACAGTTTTTCACACTTTCCTTATTTTTGATGGCCATAAAGAGCTTCAAGGAGTTCTGATCAGGTATTTTATGGAATGTCACTCAACTGGGATTTTCCTGCGTTTTTCTCATGATTATACTCACCGTGATTTATCTTGATGGTGAACTTGATCACCTAGATAAGGCGGTGTTTGTCAGGTTTCTCCACTGTGAAGTTACTCTTTTCTCCCCCTTTCCGTACTGTACTCTTTGGGAGAAAGTCAATATGTGCAGTCCTTAGTGAATGAGTGAGGAGTTATGCTCCAGTTTCTTGAGGGTAGACTACCTACGTACATTATGTGGATTTCTTCTGAATGGCAGATTTGTCTATGCTCCCTTATTTACTTATTTATTTAGTCATTTATTTATATAAGTATGGGCCCATGGATATTTATTATACAATTTGGATTTTAATTTAATACCACTTTATTTCTTTGTTTTCTTGCTCCAGCTTTGGGTACTGTGAACTCTTTTAGTCGGCTCTCGTGTCCCTCTGACATAACCCCATGATTATTGTAGCACTTCACTTGTAGCACTGCAGGATTCTCCAGGCTCATATTGTTTATTTCCTGTCCCAGTCCTATAATCAACAATTTTCCCAAGGAGTCCTGCTTCCCTTTATTGGAGAATGGTATTAGAAACCAAGATCTGGGAGCTAGGTGTACTCATTGCTACTGGAGATCACTGCCCGTAAGCCCTCCCAGCTGACACAGCAAATAAACAAATATTTGTATATTAACCCTTATAGACACACATTCCTGTAAAATTTCTATATCCAATCACCTATATTAAGCTAAACATAAGTTCAACTTATGTCTCCAACTCTGTTACTACATGTTCATTCTAGCCTCTTTCCCTTGTTTAGCTCTGCCCTCCAATAGTGAGAAAACTGGTTTCCAACATCTGCCATCCATTTACTTCATTATTCAATTCCAGTATATGTGTATTGTGGTATTAGAATGGTTAACTTTACCCCCAAACCACTTTTTATATTGGCTCCTTTTCCCCTAATTCTCTTCAGTGAGTTTGTGTCACACACTTGCAACAGGGTTTGATTGTTCTTTCACATTCTGAATGCCATCCTGGGATTACCAGAATTCCAAAGTGATTTTTTTCTAAATTTGTATATGTTAAGGCTCATTCTTTGTGTTGTCAAGTTCTATGGGCTTTGACAAATATATAGTGCCATGTGTTCACCATTATAGTATACAGAACTTTTACCATCCTAAAAAATCTTGTGTTTCACTTTCCTTTCTTTCCACTAAACCCTTAGGCAACAAATATTTTTACCATTTCCATAGTTTTGCCTTTTCCAGAATGTCATATAATTGGAATCTATAATATGTTGCCTTTACAGACTGACTTCTTTCACTTAGCAATATACCTTTGAAATTCACTCATGTCTTTTTGTGGCTTGAGAGCTCATTTCTTTTTATCTCTGAATAGTATTCCATTGTATCAATGTACTACTACAGTGTGTTTATTCATTTGCTTTATTGAAGGAATCTTGGTTGCTTCCAGTTTTTGGTGATTATGAATAAAGTTGCTATAATCATTCCTGTGCAGGTTTTTATGTGGGCGTAAGTTTTCAAATCAGTTAGGTAGGAGCATGGTTACTGGCTCAAATGGGAAGACTATGTTTAGCTTTGTAGGAAACTGCTAAACTGTCTTCCAAAGTAGCTGTGCTATTTTCATTTCCCATCAGCAATGAATGAGAGTTCCTATTGCTCTGTATTCTTGTCAGTAATTGCTATTATCAGTTCTTTGGATTTTGGTCATTTTAATAGGGATGTTGTGGTATCTCATTATTGTTTCCCCTAATGACAATTGATATTGAGCACCTTTTCATATGCTTTTGTAAGGTATTTATTTTTTCCTTTTATTTTTTTAGTTGACATGTGATAATTGTACATATTTATGGGATACAGAGTGATAGTTCCGTATGAACATATAATGTATAATGATCAAATTGGAGAAAATACATTCATCACCTCAAACATTGTCCTTTGTGTTGTGAATATTCAAAATCCTCTCCTCTAGCATTTTGAAAACATTCAATAAATTATAGTAAACCATATTCAGCCTACACTGCTGCAAAACACCGGAACTCATTCCTCCTATGTAGTAATAATTTTGTATTAATTAACTAAACTCTCTCATTCTCCCCTCTTGTCCCCTTCCTGGCCTCTAATACCCATAATTCTACTCTCTACTTCTACGAGTTTGAAATTTTTTTTCTCAGTTTTCACACAAGTGAGAACATGCAGTAGTTCTCTTTCTTTGCCTAACTTATTTTGCTTAACATGAGGCCTTCCAGGCTCTCCTATGTTGCCACTTTTTGCAGCACTATTCACAAGAGGTAATAAGCCAAATGTCTATCAACAGAAGAACGGATAGACAAAATGTGGTATACATGTACAACAAAATGCCATTCAGCCATAACAAGGTATCTGTTTCTTCATTTATTTACTTAATTTATTTTTTTGAGATAGGGTCTCACTTTGTCACCCAGGCTAGAGTGCAGTGGTGCAATCACAGCTTACAGAAGCCTTGAACTCCTGGGCTTAAGTATCCCCCTGCCCCAGCCTCCTGAGTAGCTGGGACTACAGGTACATGCCACCATATCTGGCTAACTTTTTATTTTTATTTATTTTTTTTTGTAAGAAGGGGTCTCATTATTTGGCCCAGGCTGGTCTTGAACTCCTAACCTCAAGCAATACTCCTGTGTTGCCCTTCCAAAGTGCTAGGATTATAAGCATGAGCCACAACATTGGGCCAGCATCTGTTTATTTTTATTTTTATTTTTTGGGACAGAGTCTCACTCTATCACCCAGGCTGGAGTGCAGTGGCACGATCTTGGCTCACTGTAACCTCTGCCTCCTGGGTTCAAGCGATTCTCCTGTGTCACCCTCCTGAGTAGCTGAGATAACAGGTGCACCACCATGCCCAGCTAATTTTTGTATTTTTGTAGAGATGGGGTCTTACCCTGTTGGCCAGGCTGGTCTCAAACTCCTGGCCTCAAGTGATCCACCCACCTAGGGCTCTAAAACTTCTGGGATTACAGGTGTGAGCCACTGCACCTGGCCTGTTTATTTTTAATTGGGTTGTATGTCCTTAGGATTTTCCACAAACAGGATCATGTGGAATGTGAATAAGGATGGGTTTGCTCCCTTTGTTTTTTCCAATCTGGATGCCCCTTCCCCACTTTTTCTTATTTAATTGCACTAGCTAGACCTATAGTATAGTGTTGAATAGAAATTGTAAGGCAAAACATTTTTTTTTCATTTTTTAACAGTGAGGTTTTTTTTGTTTTTTCTTTTTTTATACTTTAAGTTCTAGGGTACATGTGCACAATGTGCAGGTTTGTTACATATGTATACATGTGCTGTGTTGGTGTGCTGCACCCATTAACTCGTCATTTACATTAGGTATGCATAC